CTGGTCTCCAGCAGACCAGGGAGAGGAAGCAAAGCGGCGGAACACACGGGCAGCGGACAGCCCAGACGCGTCTGGGCTGTCCGCGTGTTCCGCCGCTTTGCTTCCTCTCCCTGGTCTGCTGGAGACCAGGGAAAGGGCCCCGTTCGTAACTGCGGATCTGACGTAAGTCGGATCCGCGTAACTCGGGGACTGCCTGTATAGGAATGAAGAGCGATCAGTTAAACAAGGGAGATCTTCCTGTTCCCTGGAAAATGTGTACAGCATATGCTGGCACTGGCACCTGTGGAGTTGATCCTTGATCATGAGAAGGAAACGTTTGCACACAAATCTGACCTATTTAAGTACTAGAAGGTTGATATGCAGAGTGAATTTTAAGGCAGTCCATTAGCCTTGAGTACTATGCATTTGAAAATGAGCTCCTGGATCCTATTAGAGATGCATCTGATGCTGTGGTGGAGGAAAGTAGAGGAAAAGGAACTCCAGCACAGACCTTATCCAGGTCTTTCCACCAACTAAGCAAATCAGAACCTGATAAGAGAAGAACCTGACACTAGTTTGTTCAGACATTGATGGGGGTATAAACTATTCTCAACTAACCCTGGAAGCAGTGTAGGTGTAAGCATGCCATGACAAAGGTGCAGACTGCCAGATGATGTAGGAACTGCATAGTATTTGCAGGCTCATTGGACCTACAAGATCAGATTTGTTAATGCTATAGGCCTATGCATCAGTAAGTAAACTCTGGAGGTTGTAGCATCTAATGTGGCTTGTATAATCTCTATTCATTAAAGAGGTATCCAAGTAGATTTTTCTTTGTTCAACTGAAGTCTTAGCTTATTTAAGAGTCAAGTAGCCTTCCTCACTACATAAAGAGCTTTGTTGTCAAAGTGGCCCTTGAGAAGCCAATGGCTATTGCAATTGAGTAACTGTCATTGCTAGAACTGTCAAATCAAGGGGCATGAAAGTTCAAAAAGGAACACTAAATATTTGAAATGCTCCCAATTGACCAAATAGTGCAGAAACGTATTGTAAAAAGGGTGTATCATGATACCAAAATACATGTACTGTATGTCAGCAGGTGAGAACCCATCTTCCAGAACTAGGGTAAGCATCCCAAACTTGTGCTTAAAAAAAAAAAAAAAACTAGCAGTCCTGTGACACTTGAGAGACTAACCAATATTTTTAGGAAAGTGTTCAGCAATCTGAGATGGAGTTCCATCCTCCCTTTGAGAACCTCTCCCCACTATGTTAAGATGTAGAACCAGTTTCTACCCATGTGGAGAAGGGATAGAATTGTATCTCCGTCATGAGATGGGATCCTGAGAAGATAGAAGATTAAATGCATAGACTAGCCTAATGTTACAACTTCCAAAACCCATGTGAATGTTCAACTGATATGAGCAACACTTCTTGCAGAAAGCCAATTATAGAAACAGGTCACTGTCTTTCCTTCAAATCCTTGCTTTTGTCCACTAAAAGTGGGTAACTCCAAGCAGTAGAGACAGTTTAAGGCAGTGGTCTCCAAGCTTTTTACACCCAAGATCACTTTTTAAATGACAGACCAAGCCAAGATCTACCACCCCGCCCTTTCCTTGAAGCCCCGCCCTCTCTATTCTCCTCTCCATCATTTGCTATCCCCAATCCTTATACTGTTACTTTAAAAAAAAATTCCCACCATTCCTCGCAGTTACTCACCTGCAGCCTCTTTCAGCTGAAAGCCACAGTCAGCTTGCTGGGGTGTTTCAGCCCTCCCAATCTCCCAGCTCCCACCATTCCTCACAGCTACTTACCTGTGTTGTTGCTCGGTGAGTAGCTGCTCCTCAAATGAGGAAATCTAATGTAAATGTACTGCGCAGGCGCGTGGTTCAGAGAGTGCTCAAGAGCTACTCTTAGAGCCTCCAAGATCTACCGGTAGATTGCGATCTACTGGTTGGTGACCACGGGTTTAAGGACATGCAGATTGCAACAACACTCTGCCAAACCCAGCATCATTCCTGTCCTGCTGTGTGATGGCATGGTGGGTCATGAATGTATGAACTGACGATCACATGGTAGCTTTGCAGATGTCCTAGACAGGGATATGAGCCAGAAAGGCCAGCAAATTATCCTGTGCTCAAGTTGAGTGCATTTTCCATACTGGTGGCCAACTCACTGCACATCTGGATGCAAGAGATTATCCAGTTTGACATCCTCTGTGCAGATACTGGGAGACCCTTCACCCTCTCAGCATATCCAATGAAGAGGTGGGATGACCTACAAAAAGGCTTTGTCTGATCAAGGTAAAAGTCAAGAGCTCTTCTAGAGTGTGAAGACGTGTCTCCTCATTAGTCCTATGCAGTTTTGGGAAGACGACTGGGTGGAAGATGTTTTGGCCCATATGAAATGCAGCAAACACCTTGGGGAGGAAGGCGCAGTGGGGCCAGAGCTGAACCATATCCTTATATAAGGACAGTATATGGTGACTCTGAAGTCAAGGCACACAGTTTGGAAACTCACTTGGCCAACATGATCATTAACAAGAAGGTTACCTTCCAAGACAAGTTCAAAAGGGAGCAAGATTGCTTGAAGGGCAATCCCCATAAGGCTGGAAAGGACCAAGTTAAGGTCCTATTGTGGGACAGGGGCTTGTACCTGTAGGAAAAGCCTCAGGACCTTCCAAGAACCTGATAGTCATGTTGCAGGAAAATAGTAATTGTCTTTGACTTGGCAGATAGAAGGCAGAGATTGCTGCTAATCATACTTTGAAGCATGTGCTAGCCTCTGATGCTTCAGATAGAGGAGGTAGTCCAAGACAGTTTCTACAGGGTCCTCAGAAGGAGAAATCTTTCTGCATGACCCACACTGAGAATCTAGTCCACATGTGTCCGAAAAGTTGTCAGACTCATGGTGAGAAGAGAACTGTCTGCTTAGCTTGCCAGTCAAGAATTTCCTGGCTCCTGTGGGGCCATGCCTCCAGATGAATGTCATGAAAGATGCAGAACTCCCAGGATGCAGATCATTTCCTGGAAAAGCACTCATGATTGAATTCTTCCCTTCCTTTTGATGTAGGACCATCATGGCCATGTTACCCAACAGATGCAGCAGAAAGAACTTGCACACCCTGCGCTCCTTGATATTTATGTGGAAGAACGATTCCTCCACAGACCATGTGCCCTGGAGCATCCATGGGCCTGGAGCACCCATCCAAGGCATCAAACTCCAGCCCAGTTGAGCGAGGAGTGTCCTCAAACAGAATGCCTGCTATGATGTTTCCTGTCACCCACCAGATCAGCAAGTCGAGAACCAGTGCTGCGATGGACAAGTCGATGGTGAAAGTAGATAAATACCAGCCATTGCTGGATAGGCTGCAGCCTGAACCTGGGAAGGCATACCATGTAAGTCCACACTGCCATGTGCCCAAGGAGGTGAAGACATACTATCTGTCATCAGCGCCAAGGCGGAGACCTCCACAATGAGATCAGTGAAGGAACTAAACCTGTCCAGTGGTTGTGATACCTGTTCTGTTCCCTCCCTTTGGGGCATCTGGTATTGGCCACTGTTGACCGACAGGATACTGGGCTAGATGGACACCTTTGGTATAAATCAGTATGTCTGTTCTTATGTTAACCAAGGTTGAGTCAAATGCAGCACAGATAATACCAGTACAAAGGATAAAATTTAACGTCAATGTGTCATTTATCAACGTCCGAGGTGATGATACATGCAGGGCAGCAGATCTACATCCTTCCAGACCCTGCCATTGAAGTTTCCCTTGATAAATCAATCATCCACATAAGTATAAATCTGAATGCCTTAGCGCTGGAAGTAAGATGCTATCAATAACGTACATTTGGTAAACACCTGAGGGGCCATTACCAGACTAAATGGGAGGACTGCAAACTGATAGTGGTTGGCACCTACCCTAAACCATAGAAAGCACCTGTATTCCTCAAAAAAAAAAAAAATCACTTTTTTAAAGTACACATCCTTAAGATCAAGGGCTGTGTACCCATCTCCCAGATCCAGGGAGGGAATGAGGAAAGCCGTGAAAACCATGCACAACTGGAATTTCACCAGGTCTCACCAGTCTAGAATGGGCCAAAGGCTACCCTTGCCTTTGGGGATTAAAATGTAGCAGGAAGAAAACCCTTGGTTCCTGTAATGAGATGGAACCTCCTCCACTGTGCCTATCAACAATAACCCTTTGACTTCTTGCATGAGCAGATTCTTGTGAGAAGGGTCCCTGAAGAGAAGTACAGAAGGATGATGAAAAGGATGGGGTGGGGGTTAGTTGTGAAGTATAACCCTGCTGCACAGTGCTGAGGACCCCATGGTCTATGGTTAGAGAGCACTAGGCAGGGAGGAAAGGGTACAAACGTTTGGAAAATTAGAGGGAGGATGGATCCAGGGAACTGTGATGTATATCATCCTCATGCAAACTTTCAAAAAGGGCATTTGGCTGTGGGCTTAGATCATGGGACTCTTTACTCAGCATCTTCCTAAGCCCTTGTATTTGCTCTGCACCACTTCTGGTGGGAATGGGAAATTTGGGACAGACAGCTGTGGCTTGAGCATGTTGCATGCAGGCCCAAGGACAAACAAGCCTGGCATCCTTAGGGTGGTGAGAGAGTCTTTCAATCCGTGCAGCTTTGTGTCTGTGTGTCCAGCATACAGAGCCATCCCATCAAAGGGGAAATACAGGTCTGCTGTGCCTGCATGGAGAGGCCCGACTGGAGCAGCCAATCCTTGTAAATCTTAAACTTGGTTTTGGGAGAGTTTTAAAAATTAACTAAGATAGCATATCCCTTGCCTCTCTTGGCCTAAAGTAGAATTTAAGTCTAGTTCATCAAAAGCCAGTGCCCTTCCAGTTCATCTAATAAAGCCTGCAGTTTTAGAACAATCAAATCCTCTTGTTCAGCAAGTTCATTCAAATTCTTCAGAAAACCGAGATGGCAAGCATCAGTATAAATACCTTCTTTCAGGGGCTGTGCTGATGCAGACACCACTCCAGTAACCGTTGTAGAAGCCACTGCTGGCACAGGCTATCAACACAAAGAAAATCCTGTTACATTGATCCTTACCACAGCCTACAAAGCATCTTGCAACATTCCATATTTTTCCTTCTTCCTTAAGGATAAAGGAATGACTATGGGCAAGAGCAACAAGTCATTTCAATCTTAAATAGCCAACTGTAAGGATATATGTTTGTGCTTTCAAATTTTATCTGCAATGGGTCAACAGAGCTTCTTCTTTAGGAAGCTTGATGGAGTTTTAGTATGGTCCTCTCAGAGAAATTGGTATGAAATAGCTAGAAGTCCAAGTTAAAATGATAACAGCTATTTAAATTAAAGCAACTTGCATTCTGAATCCAACTGTCCAAACAAGGGCTTACTGCATTTTCACTAATTCACTTTAATTTCACACCTTTAAATTCAGATTAGTGTTCCTGGATGTACTTGGGTAGACAACCCCATGGTGTGGAATAAGTGTGCATACATAAGGAGTTAGTACAGAATATCTACTTTGCTCTAGGTATTCCAACTTCCCACCCTCACAAGCTTTATTTACTGTAGTAAGATCCTACATTCATCTGAATATGGTATCTCTCTTCCAACTGACTAGGGCACATCTCCAATTTTCTCAACAGCACTGATTAGGATTTTTTATAAATTTCATTTTCATATTAGAGATTAAAATTTGCAACCACACCTTACAGCACATCTGCTTAAGGACCATATCTTCATTTGGTAGCAAACCAGGGAATACAAAATACATCACAAGCTGCACCTTTCATGCCAAGAATAACTTCTTGTAGACTCAATCCAAGACATTCACAAATCATTCTTTATTTTAAGGAAGCACTCTTAAATAGACACTTTAAATGCCAATATTTGCAAACTTACACAGGCAGGAGCAGATGTCACTGGGACAGTCTCTGGACTGAGGGTTCGTCTTAACTGAGCATCCAGATCTTCTAGAGGCTGCTGGGACTAAAGCAACAAGGAAACAGTAAGCTGCTATCCCTTGGAACCAGCTACTCACCTGACATGATTTAATGTCAAAACTACTTAAGTCTTTTTTCTATATGAAGTTGCAACCTTAATATTGTTTCAATACCTCCATTACCTCTGCTTCCTGTGTCATATACAGCTGGTAAATTAGCTACACATTTAAACCAAAAATAGGAAAGAAAATTCAGTTTGTAGCTCTTGCTGAAGGTATTGGTTTTGGATTCTCATTCTTGAAAATGGACTAAATGATTAAAAAAAGAGAGAAGTTGAAGGTTTTTATTTGTAAGGGCAGCGGTTCTTGGCATGGGCCAGCCATCCCAAACCCTCCTCACACATAGTAACATGATACAGAAAGCACCAATCCAGGTTACAGGTGACTTGATTTGCCTACTTCAAGACACCAGCTGGGCAAGTAGCTCAATGATTATCCCTAAACAAAAAAGTAAATTACATTGTAAATTAAGACAAGAGGTATGCCAAAGCCAACTGTGAAGATGAATAGGGTGCTGCTTTTAAAAAAAAAAAAAAAAAAAAAAAAAAAGAGAGTACCTTCAGAAGTAGCAGATTTAACATTTCAACAGCCTGAGATAGTTTCTATAAGATAGACTTCTAAAAAAGGACATCCCAGATAAGAGTCAAAAAGGCAAGAAAGTTTCAACTCTAGTTTAGAAGCAAGTTATGCAAGATAATCAAGAAGATCTCTCCATGAAGACTAGATCCATACCACAGATTTTTCACATGCGCGAATCAACTTTCACTAGACAGAAGGACATGTGTTATGAAAAACTGGTATTACTTGAGTCCAACAGCCTAGTTCAGAAAAATAAAGACTCTTCCTCTCTTTTTCCAAACACGCAATAGTCTGATGAACACCAAAGAAGCCTTTTCAATACTTTAGTCCTAGGCAACCATCACCCAGCATCAAATCTCCCATTCCTGAGCAAGCTCATAAAGAAGCTATCAAAAGAACAATTACAAACTAAAATCCTAAACTTGACACAATCAAGCCATGTCAGCCATGACAGAAATGAAACTGGTTTAGTCGCACTGATAGTCATCTCCTGTCCATGGAGGGAAGACAGATGTCCATTCTGTTTTGGACTGCATTACAGCATTCAGCGAAGCAGACCATGAAATCTTGCTGTCTTGGATCAGAGAGGTGGCAAAAAATCCAGAGTAAAGCACTAAACTAGTTGGAAGCTTTCCGAGAGAGTAGTGATGGAAAACCATACCCGCGCCACTAGACCCCTGATCCTTGGAGTTCCACAGGGATCAATCATCTCTATAATCCTTTTCAACATCTACCTCCAACTGCTAGGTTAACAGTCAGAGAAGATGAAATTGACTACCACAGCTCTGCTTACCCTTGACAACGTATGATCACACCAAATATACCCAGAAGGTCTACAGCTTGGATGAGATCAGTCACTGATTAAGAAAAAAAGGGGTGTTTCTGATTGCCAGAGAAGACTAGATTGAGGAGGTTACTTGAAGGGGATATGCTCTATGGCTGCAAAGATTCACATCCACAATTACTGAATTCAGTCCGTAGTCTAGTAGTGCTCAGATTCCTTGCTACCTCTGAGTTCTTGCATCACTACAGATTCAGGTCACATTTTCCATGATCTTCAGCTGGATAGGAGATTCCATCCCATCACAGCCCTTTGTTATTTATGCCTTCATCACCTCTTGGCTGAATTACAGCAATGCAACATACCTGGATAATGAAGCGTTCATGCACTTTGGTAACTTCAGTTAGTACAAAAATTATAGCATTGAGGCACTGTAGTAAATTGCCTCAACACCACAAACTGCCACACATGCCCTCCATTATCTACACTCACTTTCCATGGAATTTCAAATCAAGTTCAGGGTGCTGTTCCTGCTCTTCAAAGCACTCCATAATCTAGGCCCAGGATACCTAAAAATACTAACCTAAAAACTCCAGGACGAAGATTGCAGTTCACAACTTTGTTCTTCTCACACCACAGAGCTCAATAAGAAGAGCAAAACTTGTTGTGAGGGGAACAAAACCTTTTGGACATGGTCAGGCTTTGGAGTACATTCCCCACGATCAAGGAATCATCACAAACCTCACAATCATCTGCGAGTGCCAGGTGCATTTCTTTGACTGACTTCTCTAATGCACACAACAATAGGTATATTTATTTAATAAATAAAAAGCCTTACCAGAACTAGACATTCTACTGCATGAACTTCTCCCCTTAGTGACAGGATGAGAACACAAACCATACATGGTATGTAGTCACATTGCTTTCCAGTAATGCATTAAGCACTCAGACACTAAGGTGATGAGTGTGGTATAAAAGTCTACATAAAATACTGGATGGAGAATATATCACTCACTAAATGTTTTATGGGCCATCAGAAGACCAGCTAGTAATTGCTCAATCCAGAAGAGATGCATTCACTTCCTTGTGTCTTATACCAGATTTTATCTGCAAGTCCCTGATCTGCCATATCATAAACAAAGATATGGTGTATAAGGTAATGTCTTACATTGGACCGACCTCTGTCAAGAGAGAAACTTTCAAGCTATCACTCACTAAATGTTTTATGGGCCATCAGAAGACCAGCTAGTAATTGCTCAATCCAGAAGAGATGCATTCACTTCCTTGTGTCTTATACCAGATTTTATCTGCAAGTCCCTGATCTGCCATATCATAAACAAAGATATGGTGTATAAGGTAATGTCTTACATTGGACCGACCTCTGTCAAGAGAGAAACTTTCAAGCCACAAAGGGGGTGGAGGAGAAAACAAAACAGAAATCCTCACATGTGGAGTCTTGTGTGCATTCCTCCGCCTCAGACTGGCTGCATCTATACTCACTACTACTTACATATCATTTCCTAAATGAAGATAACATCCCCAGACACCAAGCCAGGGAAGTCATTCTCCTGCAAAACTCAATACAAGTCTTCTGTGTTGCTTGCTTCCATTAGTATTTTGGTATCCACTCAAGTTCTTCCTTTCAGACTATTATGAACACACTGTTACCATGGTCCAAGTTGTCAGGTGCTAGTTATTGCTTATCCTTTCTGCTGGACTGGTGAGGTCCTGGATTCTTCCTCACCTGGGACAGGAAGGTTTTGAGTTGAACTATATGCTCCATTTGTCTGTCAGGCACAAGTTGTCATGAGCCCTAGTAATCCCAGTGAGGATATTGACAGATCTTTCAACAGCTTCCGAAGTAGGACCTTGATCACCCTTTTAGAGGCATAGGTGCATTCTCAGCTTGGGCAATAGCCATGACCATCTTTAACCATAGTTCTTTGGGAAAACGTAAGAAATCCAAAGAAAACAATATCAAAATCTTAATGATAAACTGTATGCATGACAGAGCTGCAAGCACAATGTAGAAGATAATTTGCAAAAGCCTAAAACAGCGAGAATGTGTCATTGATTTTCTGGTTCTCTGGCAACCTATCAGTGCTCCCTGGTTAGAGGAAGCCAAAAGGCCTTGACTTCTGAAAATAAAACATTAACATCACAATAAAAAAGAAGAAATGTAAACTAATGGGAGTCAGGAAAAGACAACTCCAAAACAAAGTGTGTCAGGTTGGGCTGACGAGACAAAACAGTGGCTGACAGTTCATGAAGGGTGCTCTTTTGCTAGCCACAGTCAAGAAGGAAGTGCATGACAACTAGTATGGAAACAGCTCATACCACACCATACTACAAATACTTTTAGAACTTGGGTCATTCTATTTTTCATGTATTTGGAAGCATTAAACCTGTCTAAATGGTATCTTACAAGAACAAGTATTTCCTCCAGTATGTCGAATAAGCTTTCAGATCGTTTAGAGTTTGTTTAGGTTGTTGTTGTTTTTTTAAACACAGATCATGCACATTTAAATGGTTTTAGATAGGACCTGACATTTATATCACATTATTTAATTAGGAGGAGATTCTTAGAAGTGAACTCCCTTGATTGGGTACATGCTCCTTTCTAATACATGGCCTGAAAGGCAATAAGATGAGTTAGAAGGTCCCATTTTGTGTTACTTTCCTCAGAAGAAGCCTGAGACATGAGCATGTCAGGCTGAGTTGTGAGAACACTGATGCCAATGGGAGCCTGATAAAGCTTTGCCAATGGAAGTCTTAGTCGATACCTCTGAATATACTGCCGTCAATTCTCGTCCACTGACAATAGCCCACAAGAGACAATAACAAAGTTCCATATTATAGATATTTTGGCTAAAATTTTTCTAAAATGACTTTTAAAAAACAGCTTTAAAAAGACAGCATTGTTTTATAGTCATAAGCAAAATCCCTTGAGCCAAATTTAAGTTAAGTGTTCCAAAAACAATCATTTTTAGCACAAAACCACAAATGGAAAATTTAAAAGATTCAAACAAGTTAATACTTCAGAAACTTGTGTGTGTAGAAAACATTGCGTTTGTAACAGGAACTGTTTTGCTTTAAAACAGATATTGCCCAATGCCTGCTTTAACAGAAAACCGTCTTTATACAACCAAATGGTGATTACATATATAGGCAAAAACACTGGAATAGAGTCCAGTTTGTGTTTTTTCAGTAAGTAAATGTGCTGTTTCTAAAACATATTAAGAACGGGATACAGACTGCTTTCAAGTCTCTATGTTCACCACTTTTATTTTTAGCTTTTCTTTCATCATATATTGTAGGTTTCTTTAATTACATGCTTAAATTTTCTCCACATTACCTTATTGCACAGTAATTTAAAATATTTAGAAATCTTTCCATTTCATTGCAGGTCTTGACTGCTTTTTTTTTTTTTTTTTTTTTTTTTAACTCTCTTGAGTTCTGTAACCCCTTGTATGATTTTTTTTTCCTGTTTTACAGAAGTGGCAGCTATCAGTCAAAAGTTTGTCCTGGGAATAAGGGACTATATGACAACCTCTCAAAAGTTCATAGGGCCGAACATCTAAAATCTCCCTGGAAGTCTTCAGTTATTCATATACCAGAACTTGGCCAAATGCAGATCCCAGCAGTTTGTTTGAACTATAATCTTTAAATTGTTATTAGAAGATTTATGGAACTGCACCAATTCTGATAGTCTAGGAAAAGGAGACTATTAAAAAGCAATTCAATTCTCATAGTCAGTAGTCTTGGGTTTTCCAGAGCTAGGGCTCATCTAGACTACAGGGAATGGTTAAAGATATGGTTCTTTCAACCATTCCCTGTAGTCTAGATGAGCCCCTAGTGGAGTACTACAATATATTTTTTTCCTTGCAAAGCTAGAACTTTGCTACCAGATACTTGTTTTATTCTAATAACCAGGACAAGTAATGTTTAACACTTCTGAAGTTTCATATCTCTTCATTTACGTACAACTAATTCATCAAGTGTATTTTATTTGTCAAGAGCATTTCAGCACCACTGGGAAAGTTAATTTTCCTGAACAAATGTCTTTCAGCAAATCCCAGGCAGAAACGCATTTGTGAATGGTCAGCCTTAAGGACAGTGAAATGAAGCAAAATTAGTAAATTAACTTTCCCAGTGGTGCTGAAATGCTCTTGGACAAATAAAATACATTTGATGAATTAGTTGTACGTAAATGAAGAGATGAAATTTCAGAAGTGTTAAACATACCTGTCCTGGTTATTAGAATAAAACAAGTATCTGGTAGCAAAATCCTAGCTTTGCAGGGGGGAAAAAAATATATATATATTGCAGTACTCCACTAGGGGCTCATCTAGACTACGGGGAATGGTTGAAAGAAAATGTGCAAATTCCACGGGTGGCGTAGCTAACAAAATCAGCACTCAAAGATCCAGTGATTATTGATGAATTGCAAATATTCTGTTGTAAAGACATATTTGGTACATAACCAACTTAGAAACATAGCTATTGCGCAACACTTAACATCCTGGTATGTAAAACAAGGGCTTTTAAGAAGCTTTCCCTCAAGCTCAAAACAGAAATCAAAAGATAAGCTTGAGTCATTTAGGTCCACAGGCACCTGCTGTCTTCCAGGGCATGAGTGACTCTAGTCCTTGCTATACAGAAGGGGTTACTTGGTCAAAAGAAAAAGTGAAGAAGCCAAGACCATGCAATGGAGAGTTTAATTGGAACATGCTCTTTGAGAAAGAAAGGAGGAGAAGCAGCAAACAACCTGCAAGTCATGTAGCACCTGAGTTAGTGAAGGTCCTGGAAAGGGCGGCAGCTGTTCGCTGGATGGAGTGCCAGCTGAAAGTTCAAAACCTACTGGTAGCACCTATGGATAATGAAGAGGAAATGCAAGTCCATCAAACAAAGAACAGTAGGAGCAGTCAGCAAGTCACAATAAGTCACATCACTTAGTAGAAAGCTTTAAAGTTTTCCCTGTGGAACCTTCCTATGAAAGCAAGGAACAGTATTAAGAGGGAATTCATTTCAACTGGGATATCCACTTGCATTTTAATTTGATCAGCTACAGGGAAAATCTGTTTATGATGAAGGCAAGTAGTTTTAGTTTTAAAAAAAATCTTGACCTCTTTATAGCAAATACATGGGAACTGCTGCTATAATCACAAATTTCCAATAGAAAGCTTAGTAACAACTAAGCAGGGCAATCCAGTGAGAAACCCTACTCACTTTCCCTGACATCTCTGTATTACAGTTCCACTGCTGTTTAAGAGTGGCAAAATTCAGGTGAGTGTAGTAAATTTCTCTAAACAATTCATAAAGAATCTGAAATGTTTTTATTATCTGAGGAAGTCTACATCCACTAAGAAATGTTTTATTTTTAATCTCCCTGTTATTTTCTTCCCTCCCCCATTATGAACAGCTACCTGAAGCCGCTGACTGTCCAAGCAGATCATTAACATGCATCTTGGTAAAAGAAAAAAAATCCAGCCAGGTTATGTGCAAAGTGTAAGAGCAACTGGAAATGGTAGAATCATAGAACTGGAAGGGACCTCGAGCCCAGTCCCCTGCCCTCTCAGCAGCACCAAGAATGAGGCACACAAGCCTCACAGCACAAGTCAGACAGCACATTCCAGTTAGTTCTCTCAAACCGTTACAAAAGTGGGTAGACCTAAGAACTAAGAAGCTAACACTAAGATCTAAGATGCTGTGTGTGGATTTTTTCCAACTCTCCTCCTCTCAATTATGTCCAAGTCTCCCCCACCTCTTGTGCCATCGTGCCTGCATTCTGTTATTTCTAGCAAATGAGATTGGTCAGAGCTAGCACAGGCATGTTTTCTTGATGTCAGAAAATGCACATAGTAAGTGGCACAATAACCTAACGATATTTGGCTGGTAACCTTTTATAGCAGGAAACAGACACAGGCCATTCTTTGTTGGATGAAGCCTTCTTCAGTCTTTAAGCAAGTGAGAACTAATAAGTGGCAGAATCTAATTAATATTAGATCACAAGAAAATTCAAGGTGAATTCACTCTTAAACTGACATATTTAAGCCACTGTCACTGGAATACACATACTGTTTTACAGCAGCAACTGAATTCATTAATCATTTGAAGGCAGAACACTTCCACGTGCTCTCCCCAAATTCCATCTTCATATTACTTAACAGTATGAATTACTCCTAGCCAGATTTCATTAAGTTAAACTTAATCTTTAAAATACTTACCAGTAATTTATAAGTAAAGATTTTTACAAAGATGTAATTTTCCAAAAACAATACAGATCCAAGGAATTCAGTTGTTTGGATTTAAGTTTAACCATTTGAAACTGTCTACATAGTTATGACATCACAAAGGTTCCCGTCATTCTTTGTCTTTTTTTAGGATGCTTGGCTTTTTAATTTAATCTAGTTTTAAATTTCCTATGCTTTAAATGTTCCTCCCCACCAAACTACTACCTCTACAACTTTCTTGTAAAGCTTTTTTCCTTACATTAAAGGCAGGCAATTCTCTTAAACCTAAAAAAAATAAAATAAAAATGAAACGGGTACTTCTGTCCAGCATATTGAAATTTTTGCATCTACAATGCACCGTAGTTCGAAATAAGATACGCAATTTGAGCTACACAACTTGTGCATCTTGTTTCAATGTTATTTCAAAATAGCTCATTTTGTAATAATTTTGAAATAATCCACTATTCCGAAACAACCTCATTCCATGAGGAGTAAGGGATTACAGGGACGATGGAAAAGCAAGCTTGTTATATTTCAAAATAACCAGCTTGCTGTTAAGATGCAGGATAGCTATTTTGGGATACCTCTGGTATCCCAAAATAGCGCTGCAGTGTAGACATAGCCTAGTAAATAAAGCAGGTCAGCTTAAGGTACTCCATCCAGCTACACAAAATGTGTAGATGGATTTGGATTACCTTAAACCAAGCTGCTGCAGCATCCACATTGTAGACGACCGACAGGAGCACACTCTCCTGCCAACTTCCATTACTCCTCACAGAACAAGGAGTATAGGACACCAGCAGGGGCTGCCCTCAATGTTTGATTTAGGGGGGCTACATTAGACCCACTAAATCGAATGTTAGAAGATCAACTTCCAGAGGGTCAATCTTCTCTGTAGTGTAGGCATACCCAAGGAGACTTATTTGGCCCAGCCATGATGGCAAGGTGAATGAGCACTTCCCTGAGGTGGCTAGCCTCCATTCCATCCTATTCCCCAACTTTCCCTCCACAGTGACTTTATTTCAGTGCACCAGTTTGATCAGAGATAGCACATGTATATTTCCTTGAGCTGGAAATTACACCTCTAGCTAGAGCTGTAAGACACACTGCTAGTCTTTGATTCACCTTCCTGAGGTCTTCTTGAAAAATACCTGATCTACTGTGGACCTTGGTAAGTCAGCGAAACCATAGGCCTAGTACAGATTGCTGTCCTCAGCAACACCTGTACGTTTTATCCAGGGAGCAGGAATATGTAATTTGTGAGAGGAAGAAAGGAATTAAGAGGCAGATGACAGACGCTATAAGGGCTGCCGGATCCATTGGGGTCATGGAAATCTGCAAATCTTAGAATTTCAGCCCGTGCACACATCTGGAGATCTTAGGAACTCTGAGACATTCAGAGGGAAATAAGTAGGGCTGGACACCTAAAGCTGAGATTGCTATAGGAAGTAATCAAGTCAAGAAGAACTTAAGTAGAGCACAAAGAGCTGGACTTGAGAAGGAAAAAGCATACCGACACTGTACTAACACTAAAAGCAGAAAATATACTAATGGACTGGATAAATCAATTTGGATAAACATTCTGTGTCAACCTTGCTTCAGAATAAGAGTAATTTCTAAAAGGTTATTCTTTCATATATTTAACACCTTTCACAAGAGTGCTGGATTCCTTACCGGTACCCTGCTAAGAGATGGCTTTGAAGGAGGGGTTCCTGGTTTCACTGCTGTTGTTGCAATGCTGCCTGATGCTGGAACATAGGTGACAGGAATTCCCACTTGACCAGGTGTGGTAACTGGTGTCGTAACAGGTAAACCAGCTGGTCCAATCGGCAAACTAGCCGGTGGTATGCAAGAGCTGGTAGTGGCTGTCATAGGTTTAGTTGGTGCAACAGCAGTGGTTGGTACACCAGGCATGACTGTAGTCTCCATTACCAATGATGTCTCCAGAGATACTGGTGGATGTGTTGCACCTACATTGCCATGTTCACTGAAGAGAGATCGTAGCTTTTCTTCCAAGGTCTTTATGTCATCAATGCCAGGAGCTTTGGGTTGAGTGTCAACATCAGCCTCTAGACAGTGAGTATGAGGTTGATTGGGTAGCGGAGCAGGTTGAGGCTGACAGTGTATCAAAGTCTGTTGTACTACAGGCAAGTTAGCAACTGGCTGTGTCAGTGGTAGGATGCCAGATAAAGGAACCTGGGATAATATGGGGGTAGAGATTGCCGCTGCTGCCTGGGGTAGGACTGGTGTTGATGCAACTGCTGACGGGATGAGTAAAGGATGCACCATAGTAGGCTGAGGCACTGAACTAGATATACTTGATGTCACTTCAGAGGACAATGGCGCAGAAATAGGAAGTGACAAGCCAGCTGCACTGCACTGATGGGATTTATCTGCTGACTGTCCATCCTCATACTTTGAGTGTAGCACACTTACAACAGTTTCTGCCAGACTGGGAATGGATCTACTGCTGCTGAGCTGAGGAGTTTGTGAAGTCACATTATGAGCTATAGTTGAGGCTATAGATGTTTGTGGAGCTGTCACAGATTCCATACTACTTGCAATCTGTTGGACAGGAGGAGACGTAACAGGTGGGGATACAGTGCCTGGCACACCAACACTAGGGCCAGCCATGACAGGAGTTTGTGGTATTGGTGGCAATGTTAACAATGCAGGTGCACTGATATTAGGGACAGCCTCTTCTGTCAGTGGTTGAGCAGTCTGTGATGTAGAAGGTAATGAAAAAGAAGCAGGTGTACTCAGACTGGAAGTCATACCACCAATTAATTGTTGCCCAGACTGTGATGTAGCTGTTGGACAGCTGGAACCTAAAACGGCTTTGCTTGAGGCAGCTCCAGCTGGCACCTGTTCTATAGTCAAGGGAACAACAGACTGAACTACTGGAAGAGAAATACCAGTGGTGGAGGGGGGGGATGCTGTGGGAGGAGCCACCGATGTAGATGGTAGACTCCCAGCCATGTTAGCAAGTGCAGGTGGAAATGGTGGTATTGTTTGGTTAAACACTGGAGGAGCTGTACTGGGTCCTTCTGTCATTTGAGCATGCCTGATCTCAGAGAAAGCTTGCTGCAGGCTTAGTGATGATGCAGAATGAGACAGGTTCATCCCAGGACCATGTGATGGAGAGGAAGCAACTGAGGGAAAACAAAAAAATCCAGTCAATTCAACTTAGAGAAGTTTACCTACCATTGCTAGATTAACAGCATTCCAGGATAGCATATTATGGTGTGATTTACCGAGGCTATTCCTAAGAGAACTAGGAACGCAGAGCCAGGGGATATATATTGCAAATCACAATATAAAATGTGCTGTGAAATCTACAGGAGTTTAACACTGGAACAGCAATAATAGTATCAGTTAACAGATCAAGAGAGGAAAAAATCTTGCTTCCACTGTTCCCCTTGAAAGGCTGTTCCAGCATTTTATGCCTCTGCTTGTTGAAAACCTTTATGTAATATGATCATGTGCTCAACCCCAAACTAGTTGAAGGCTAGCTTGGAACCTTTTGCTCTTCTGTCCACATCAAAGCATAATTTAAGTAACTCCTCTCCCTTGCTGGTATTTATCCCTTGGATGTATTTATAGAGAATAATCATCTCTTCCCTTAGCCTTCATTTGGTTAGGCTAAATAAGACAAGCTCTTTGAGTTTCCTTTCATAAGGTAGACTTTCCATTCCTCAGATCATCCCAGTAACCTTTTTCTATACAAGGAGAGGGTGGAGGCAAAGACAGCTTCCCTCCTCTTTTCTTTCCTCCTCCCCCCCGCCATGACTGTAGGCATGCTAATGGGCCACTTCACCTATAATGGTCCCTTGAAGGTTTTAACTACTTTTACTAAATCTGAAATACAAGGTGTGAATATCTGTAAACTTCCTAGACCTGAAGAGCTTGGTATAAATTCCAAAGCTTGTCTCTCATCAATGGAATTTACTCCAACAAAAGATATTACTTCACTTATCTTGTGTCTATAATATCCTGTGACTGACACAGCTATAACAAGAACCGGTCACTCACGGTAAGCTCTCTTGTAGATTGTATCATGAATAAATATTAACCAAACTCCAGAAAGTTTTGGGTAACTTACTAATCTCTGAAAGTTCCTTTCCCGCAGGAATAGCAGAGGTGAAAAACTGCTGCTCTCTTAACCGACTCTCTGGGACAGGACTGACAATAAACCGTCTTCCAGCAGAATGAACAACCTGGGTTAAAGAGCTAGGAGCACCACCTAAACAATGGAGAAGTTAGGTATTTAGTGATGTGCTTCATCTCATTACAGCGCATCCGGCCAGATCATGTGCTCAAGCATACAAAGATTGCCCTCTTCAGTTGGATCCAAGTCAGCACTAGGAAACTATTGGATAACAATTATAAAGCTTACCAATTCTCTGTGGCATGAAAGATACAGGGTCTGGCTGTTTGAACTCTCCCTCCAATTTCTGCAAAAAGATAAATAATAAAAGTTAACATTTAAGCATAACCTCAGTCTTCCAAAAAAAGCTCAAACACAAATTTAGTGGCATACCTATGGTATTCAGCATGCCACTATTGTAAGCAATACTCTGAATTTGAGTACTTCAGTCTAGTCTAGTCCAATCTCACTTTGACCCTCCCCCACCTCCAAAACCCTGTTCCATGGGAACATGCCAATATTATATCTAAATTGCCAGGACAGGGAAGTTTGCAAACCTACCTGTTTCCCTGCTAGGCAGACTGCCATGGAGCCAGGACTCCCATAACTTGCAGTTGTCCCAGCTCCAAGACAGTACTGGAAGCCCATAGAACCCATTTCCCCAGCCTGGTGGGCTGCCAGGAAGTGCACAACTGAAGGAGCAGAAGAATCACTTACTTTAATATTTTGTAAGATGCCTATTTTTCTTCTAAACCATTTAATTTGTTTTATTTCAAAGCAATTTTTTGAATTTCTGAAATTCCCTACTTAACAGGAATTCCAGTTTCTGGACGGCTCTAGTTTACCACTTCCACTGCATTCGAAACAGACAATTTAAGCACTACTTACCTGGGGCCCTGGAAAGAAGCAGTCGTCTTTTGCCTGCATACTCTCCAAGCCCTGATCACCTTCTGGCTCCACGCTGACATCCTCACTGAGCATTTCATCTGCTTTCTCAATGATCTCTCGTACCTGCTCTACAAATGAATCTCGTTCAATTGCTAGAATAAATTCATTCTGCACCTGTGAATGAAACAAAACAAGGACTGTTGTCATTGTTCATGTCCCTTGTCTATTTATATTTTAACCCCCTTCAAATCTATGCATTCTGCATAGATTCTGGCTATGCAACTATACCTTCCTATCAGTGTTACTCTTATTATTCATTGCCCATTTTTGTTGCCTCTTGCTTTAATTTAGATTGTGGTCTGTATTTTATGGCCTCCAGCGTAACAGGAATCTTGTCTGGGCCTCTATTTTTATTACACTAGCATTAAAAGTCTCACTTGTCCAGGTAAGCTGTTGTGACTGCGTTACAAGATTTCTGCTTGGTATAATTGGTTAGGTTAATTGAAATTTACTCCTTCTACCAAACTATGTGTTCAATCTTATATGACACACTGTTTTCTGAGACCTGAGGAAGAGTTCTATGTAGAAGGGATGTAATAGTGTAGTCGATTAACCGATAAGCAAAAGCTTATAAGTTAATGCTATAGACTACACGCATTACCTTCCCACCCCCAGCCAATTAATTTTTTAGCAGGCTGGCCAGCAGGCCGGCTCACTGCTGGCTTGCGACGGGTCTGAGACTTACTCCATTGCAACTCTGCATTTAAAGTTTATTAGGAGATGGGCAGGCAGACGGCCCAGCTCAGTCTTGGCTCATGCCGGGTCTGGGACCTTCCCCCACTGTGGCTTTACATTTGAAGTATATTAGGAACCACATGGGCAGGCAGCCAAGCTCAGTTTCAGCCCACACCAGGTCCAGGAGCTCAGACATCCCCTAGACAGAGGCTGCTGCCATCCTGTGCTGCTGCCTCTATTAGAGGCAGCAGCACTGGACAACAGGCAGCCAGTCTGCGATGGGATCACGGCTCCTCAGGAGTGAGGCTGGAGCGCACTGGCTGCCAACCCTGCCCTGGGACTATAGAATAGTCGACTAACCAATAAGAATTCATGAGGTTACTCAACTATTCAATTAACTGATATTTAACATCCGTACTATGTAGTTTGTAGCCCATCTCTCACCCACAGGAGACGGTCAAATAAAAAAATATTATCTCACCCACCTTGACTAATATCATGGAACAAACATGGCTATGAAAGTATTGTATACAGGCAGTCCCCAGGTTACATACAAGATAGGGACTGTAGGTTTGTTCTTAAGTTGAATTTGTATGTAAGTCGGAACTGGTACATATTGTAGGGGAAACTCTAGCCAAACATTTCTCCAGAGCTGTTTTATTCTCCCACACCCCACTTCCCTCAGTCCTTTATTCTCAAGCTGAGGTGTCTCCTGAGAAAAGCCGCTCCGCATCTCCCTGGTCTGCTGGGGGGGGGGAGGGGCACTAGCTTCGCATCTCCCTGGTCTGCTGGGGGGAAGCAGCTAGTGCAGGGTTGCCTCACCCCGTTTATAAGTAGGGATCCGATGCAAGTCAGATCCATGTAACCTGGGGACTGCCTGTAATTGAAATTTAGCAGGCCTACTATTTCCTATTACAGTTACTGATTTAATATTACATAAGCCTTCAAAACATCTCTAATGCAGTAAAAGGAATGAGGGACTAATGTAATTGAAACTTACATATTCTTCTTAGTATTGGAAATGAATTTCAAATTCTCTTCTCTGCCTATTCCAAGTCTTTCATGACCAGAACCAAAACAATCACGATGAATCAAGTTACTCTGCACTGACACTACGTTGAAGGTGAACCCATATCTCCCTAAGAGACCAACTTCACAAGCTTAATTATGTGGCTAGACACATAAACTAGCTGTACATTTCAATTGTGCCAGTACAGTCACTACAAACTCTTCTGTTCAAAAGACTTCCATGTATTTAGTGGTCATCTGTTTTTACTCAACTGGGAATAGATCTTACTATTGGCATGACAATGCCATGATGTTCTATTTCATGAGCCCAGTGAAACTAGTTTTGAGATAGGACAAAATTTCACAGTGATTATTTGAGCTAGAAGCCTTTTAAAGATTTCATATTTGCTGACGCCCAATGAAATGGGATAAAGCATGTATGATCCCTACCAATTAGTTTACTTTTTACATGACAAAACCAACAGGAATTAATTCAGACCTCCCTGTAAACAACTACTGAGATAACGGATGTATGGTGAAGGTATATAATGTGGAAAGTGTATAGGTTTACATTCTATGACTACTTTGGAGGAATCTTCCTTTTACTGTACATGTCTCAAAGATTTCTGATGCATATTGTTAGGTTTTTCCTGAGGTACTATTGGTCAATGAGCCACTAGTACAGACATGCCCAAATGCCTTTGGGGAACCTCTTTGGAAGGCCAAAATCTTAGTGTGGAGTCCTTATCAGGGTTTTTCATAACTGTACCCCATTGGAAGTCAAAGGCTCTGGGGACAATATGTGCCCTAGAGAATATGTGCAGGGGAGTCAGCTGGAGGCTAAAGTGCTCTCTCCATCAGCAAGACTTATGTTTTTGGAAACTTTGCCTTGAGCTGCTAACCGAGGGTGCGTTTTTGTGGATATGTGATTTTCCCAGAAACTATACATAGTGATATTATCTTTCAAGGGATGCAAAATAAGTTTTTCCTTTTTTTGTTGTTTAAAACTGAGAGGTCTTAACTGCTAAATCCTCAAGGCAGGGGAGGGGAGAGTCCCCCAGAAAGGGCAGGAAACATGAATTAGAAGAGATTTCCTCTTTTTAAAATCTCAGAAACTAACTATTAAGAAAATCAAGATGACTAGAACTACTACTACTTATGCTAATGATGCACAGAATGAAGAGACAACTGCTTGTTCCATTCAAGACCAAAGGTGTTTGGGAAGGAACCATGGGCAATTTGCTCACGCAGCGCTAGATTCTATCTAGGCAGACCATGAGAGAACAAGCACACATGTGCAAGCCAAGTGGACACTGTTACCTAAAAATCTTCCAGTAGAGGTGCATGGGCACAGATATACTCCTGCAAGAGAGCATTCTTTGGGATAAAATTAAGTTCTCCAGTAACAGGAGCATGACTGCACTTGGAAAAATTTAAATTTTATTTCCAGAAATGAAGTTTACTGTTTATTAGTTCAGCCCACAACAAGCTATTAGTAAGCAATTTTTAAAATACTAAAGCCTGGTTTCCAACTGCCAGGCCACAGACCTGTGCTGGTCCGCATACCACTGGCTGTTGGGCTGCGGCAGCTCTTCGGGCTGGGGCTGCGGTACACTGCCCAGAGCATCTCCTTCTACCGTGGCTGTTGGGAGAGGCATGTCCTGTGCTGCCCTGCCTCAGCCAACCAGCACCAGAGGTCTCCTCCTGGATACAGAAGAGTGGTTCGCTGTGTGGCAGGGGTGCTGTGCAGAGCGCAGCGCAGCACAGCACAGCAGCCTCAGAGCAACCATGACCCAGGCAGCAACACTCAGTTGAAGGCTTTGAAGCAGTGCACAGCTAGTGCTGGGGAGCTCTAAGCAGCGGAGGTAACACTGGAGGGCACAGGGCATCCAGGGTGAGGAACTGGGGTGAGGGGCGGTCTCTGAGGGCAGGAGGCTGGCACGGGGAACAGTTATTAATGAAAGATTTTGCTTCTAATATTAGTAACATGATTGGAAGAGGAGACAAAGATTGCAGTGCACAAAGACACTATGAGAACTCTAGTAATTCCTAAAGACAGGTTGTACAACTAATATGATGAACAAGATCAAGGTCAATTCTCCATCTTCACTGGAGATGTAGCTCACCATAATTGATGCTATTTCCTCTGGGTTGTCACCATCCAGGTCAAATTTGAAAGTAACCATTTTCCGATTGTGTGTCTCTAGCTGGCATTCAACCACACGATCACCCTTGTTCGAGACCTGAAAAAAAAATGTGTTTTCCACCCTGAACTGTGGAATACATTAGAACCTCACAGAATTACCGAACACACGTGCAAACATCTCATGTCCCTAAAGCCAGGGGAATGTCAGGTGCACAAAAGCAACAAGATCTCCTAAGGGCCAACTATACTCCTTGAGCCATTCATTCTCCATTCCCAGACAGATCAGGTATACTGAAGGGCAACCATCCTTTAAGGTACAAGTGCTAAATGATACAGCTGGAAATCCCTTAGATGTTCAACTTTAAGCCCTCTTGCTCAACATAGGGCATCTTTCTCTAGAACTGATTACTCTGTAAACCTTTCCTGCTTATTGCAGAAAATAGAATAATTACATTTCAGTAAATTAACTAGTGTGGTAGTAGGGAAAATAGGGTGAGGTTTCTTAAACTCCAGTCAAGGGGTAAGGCAAACAAAGTAAATACTCTGTACCACCTACAAGTATCAATGCTTCCTGAATGACCATGTTCTGCTGTGCTTACAGCTCTGCAGCACACCTAATAGCTCACTCTTGGGCACAGCACACCTAATAGCTCACCTTTGGACACTATCTGACCTCCAAAGCAGAAAGAATACACAGGAGCATACAAAACAGTGTACAGCACCTGGGGAAGAGTTTGAGTGGAAGCCTAGTCACTTTGTATGGGAGGCTGTTATCAGAACTTAGGATACACAGGAAATGGAAAGGCTACCCTCTTCAGAATGGTGGGTAGGGAAGTTCTATAAGAGCTCAAGAAAGACACTACCATTATTACAGTCACTGAAATAAGCCATAACTCACATTGAGAATTCTCAGTTTTGGTCTAGCCATCTTCTCATGCCGAGAACGGCTGCGTACAGACTTCCGATAATGGCGTTTAGTGGTCCTCCCTTCGTGTCTCCCACTAGATCCTGGCACATTTTCATTGCCATCACTCATGCCCGAAGCAACATCAGAATGTGCACTAAAACCAAAATTTAAGTTTAATAATTTACACAAATAATATTTGAACTTCTTCAGTTTGTGATGACAATCTCCCTCTTAATCCAAGAGAGGATAGCCTCTTAAGATCAATACTGGTTCCTCTTGTGAAGACAGGGTATTTAACCACACAAGAAGGGATCTAGGAAATATTTGATACAGTAATCCACTTAAATGCATCTTCTGGATGAAGCATCAAGCTTTGCAAAGCTCAACTCTTGAATATGTATGACTATCATGGGAACAAGTAACCCCTTGCTTAATATGTAATTGCAATAGATTAGCATAGCAGGTGTGACATTATCTGATTAAGAAACGACTATGTACATTATACAATTGCAACAGTGGTACAAACCATATCATGAGAGTTGTCAATGGAAAATACATGATTTGCTGAATGATTATCCTATCAGCATGCATGTATCATTTTCATTTCTGAAGTTATGAATATTGACTAGAGATGTAGAAACGCAGTTAAAATTTAACTGCTAAAAACCATAGTGACTACACATGCTGTGGGCTCTGCAGCATGAGCCCGTAGCAAGCCTCCCTGGGAGCATCAAGGGTGAGGCTTACCAGTTAACCAGTTAAACCTTCACTTCCCTAATATTGACTGTATACCTATTTTTCCAGTGCAGTACCTCCCACATGGTAGTTTACAGCCAGTCTAGCCAGCACATTGTGAATAGACTATTCAAGCTGATGGCTCATCAACAAACACAATGAGCCATGAAAGAAGCTTATCCCCACCTAATGGGTTTTCACATAGACTTTCCAGCCAGACTGCCGATAATGGCCACTGCTATGACTCATCAAAACATGCAAGGGCATGTGACACTGGATTCCCTCTTGTGCCTATATTTTTCCACTTAATGTATTGAGAGCAGACCCACTATATGGCACAAAGTATAAAATGCCCCAGAAACATCTCTACTCAGCTTCTTTCCCACTCTGTTCTCTGGAATATGGACTTGTATTAATGGGAGCATTCTAACCAAGAGAATGAGGACTTTCCAAAAGTCTGGAAGGAACCACAGACTTAATAAGCCAGCAGTTTCATGACATCATTGCTTCATGCCTGATCCGAGAACTCAGTAATTACTGTTTGTATACGATTTCTTTTGCCAATTTTACCTTCTCACCTCTTTCTTTGTATAAAAACCTTTAGATATACATACTGGATGACAGGAAACAGTGTCATTATTGGGTAGGATCCAAGTTATATATTGACCTGGGTATGTGGCTGGTCATTCGTAGTAAGAACCCTCCTTTGGTTGATCAATCTGGTGTTAAATAACCATTCATCATTAAGTCTACTATCTGGGTATTGGCACAGGGTTGAGTTTCTTAAGGAGACTACATTTCTGACTTGTCATTTGTCAACGTGGTGAGATAGAAGTTTACTTCTGCTGCTGGTTTGGTTTATCTTATTGAAGAACAATCCCCAGTTTTGGGATGTTTGTGCCCTATTTCTCAGCTTTTGGACACGAATCTGGTATTCTCAGTTGTGACTCACTGAGGCATGGTAACTTCAGAAAGAAACTTCAGAGAGAAACCTTATAAAAAAATTTAAGTTATTCACTCAATTTATATAGAAAATGTTCCCAGTAAAGAACAGATGCCAGAGAGCCACCAAGGGAAAAATGTCTCAACCAACAAGTTCAGCTTGGTAAAACTCTAGGGTTACCTGTCTAATGAGGAGACCAACGGGGTAGTCTGTGCAGGCTGTTGCTGTGCTGATGGTACAGACTCTGAAGGAGCAGCCTGCGAGGCTCCCTGAGTACTCTGCAAGAAAAAACCAACACTCAAGGATGTTAATGAATTATTTCTTTAGTTCTAACCAGATCAACTCTTTAGTACATTTCCCCAATCATTCTTCCAAGCTACAAAGCATCAATTCTACAGACAAATTAATAACCACAGGGGTCTAGTCCACTCAAATCTGACACCCAAGAAGAGGGTGTTAGTGCAATACTCAGAGTGCCTGGTGAGGATAGCCATCCCATCTGCTACATTGTGATTCTACAGCTTGCCATGCAGCCAGCACCATACTAGCAAAATGTGCAACAGGGAAGCCAATGCAGCCCACAAGGACAATTCAAATCTCTCCCCCAACAGCAGAAAATCTTGAAGGAACACGTATTAGAGATTCTCATGGGCTACCAATGGCACAGTGTCTTTGAAAAGACAAAAAAGGATCTATAGTACTAGCAAGAAGTGAAGTGTTAACAGATTTTTGCCTCTGGAATGCACACTCACTTCCCAACAGAACAGCCAATGGCAACAAGTTCCCCACATTGGCATGACATTCTGCTGTAAGAAAAAGTCATTTGAGAAATTAGTTTATAGTGTCCAAATGATACCAACATGGAAGGGGTTAATTTCCCCCAAACAGTGCAAATATAATTCATGCTCTGGAATTTTCAATTTATACACACAACATCACATTTACCTCTAAAGCTCCCTGCTGTGAAGATGCAGATGAGACCTGCTGTGCTAAACTCAATGAAGGCTGTGGCACTTGAACCTGTCCTCCTACACCGCTCAGAGGAACTAACATGTTCTGTTCCACATAAGGCTGCTGCACCATTGCAGCAAGATAACCTGGCTGTGCCAATGCATCTGTGGGTAAGGGAGGGGACAGTACTGCAGTAGGGATGCAAACAGAGGTCACAGCAGAGGAGGGAGCAACATTTGAGTCTCCTGGGTATTGCGGCGGCAGCCGAGGTGGAAAGCCCTGCGATAGAAATGAGGGATCCAAGTTAGTGCATATTAGGGGAAGTTAGGAAACCAGCAAGAAAGGCTGAAAGAGAAAACATGGCAAGTAAAGCTGCGGGGACTGTTCCAACCTGCCATACTTCCATAATGTTCAAGCACCTCAAAGCCATTTTGCAAGAGGAACACAGCAGACTGCCCAGGTACCTAAATTCACCTCCAGAACAATCACATATGATGAGTCAGCAAGTTCTCTTGCACGCTCACAAAAAGTGTTTCAAAGTCCTAGGAAGCGAACTTCCCCTATAATTATCCACAAAATCATAAAAGTGGAAAACGTGAAGAGCTTGCATACTGAATAATCACTATTTAGCTAGTATATGCAACAGCTAATGGGAATCTTCCGTAAAGAATGCCAATGTTCATGTAATCTCCCCCCTTCAACTCAAGAGTGGAGATGACCTGAATGCCAAGCAACATTATTACACACAGCAAGTAAACAGTACTTGCTATTACCTGCTGATGGACAGCACATTTCAACATAATATATATTACAATAGGGGCAACATCACATGTTGGGACTGTCTTCTCACCACTGTATTTTTATTGTAATGCTTTGCTGACTTATAAATTAAATCTTTACTATAGTCAGACACAGATTAGCTCTTGTCCATCATTCCATGTTTGCATCTGACACTTTACTGACATTCAAGGCTCACAGTCTAGATTATTGCTAAGGTAATTTTTGGTGTCGCCAGACATTCCACACACTGTCTTTCCAGGACACAGATCAGCATTTTAAAGGTCTTTGGCAGGGAGTGATGAAGTATTACCAATTTTCAGATGCTTGTCACATATGGCAGAAAAACCTAACTTTTACAGAAATTCCATTGCCGATAAATCCATAGTTAGGTGTCCAAAAACAATCCATGAAACTCTGTCCTTTTGCATACAACTATAAGTAGTTAGTTCAAAAAGAGACACAAAAACATGTGCTTTGATCACTTTCCTGCCAAATTTGGGTATTGGCAAATATGTGCAACATAAGTCAGGTCTAGTGTCCCAGAGGAACAGAAGATGAGGAGATCTTTTGCTGACTTGCAACAGTACCTGGTACAAAGCATCTCCAGCTGGAAGTGCAGCTTCAGCAGCTTGTCCAAGACTGGCCGGTAATCCCATGGACTGAACAGCTGGCTGCAGGAGCTGTGGGAGAACCTGGCTGGGCAGCTGGGCTGCAGACTGTAGAGCGGTTGGAAGCTGGCTAGGGACAATGGTTGATCCTACAGGGATAGCAGCTGATGTGGCCAGAGTGAGCAGTGGCTGGGTTATGCCCGCCTCCCAAGACACAGGGACAGAACGGGA